GGGGGGGGGGGGGGGGGGGGGGGGGGGAGTGTTGACCTCCACCACTCTGAGTCAGAGGAGCGAAAGATGCCCCTGATAAATCTAAAACTTAGTGTCATAACCTGGCCTTGCACAGAGCCAAAACTAAACACAGCGGCAGTGTCGAGTAGTCTTTCAAACCAACATGAGTAACTGGTCTCATCGAGTGCCAGTATCAAAATTCCATTTTAAAATCAGTTTTGTCATGATTAAAAAAAGTAAAAAATGGCAGCGGTGGGATTCGAACCCACGCCTCCGAAGAGACTGGTGCCTTAAACCAGCGCCTTAGACCGCTCGGCCACGCTACCTGACGATCTGGGAGCAACAAGCAAATTAAATTTCTTTAAAAATTATATTAATTAAAAAAAATAATTATATATTATTTACATTATTTCCGTTATACATAAATTGTAGCTTCTAATTATCTATCATGTCAATTTTCTGATACTTTTTCAAAATTTGACGTTAAGTTTAATATTTTAATGTTATTTAAGGAAATTGAAGGAACAAAACTACTCCAAACCAATAATTTCAAAATTTACAAACAAATCGCTTTCCGGTCTAAATATTTTTGTTTGTGTTTGACTTGAGAGTCTAATAATAGTAATAGAAATAATTCTCAAAGGTGGCTTCTTTCGAATACTAGTAAAATATTTCACTTATATTAAGAGTAGGTATATTAAACATTTATTAGACCCATTCAATATTGGAAAACTTACGCCGCAAGCGGCCTTTCACTTTGTTATGTTCACTCTGCTGATTGACTCGTACTAGTCATCATACAGTGACATACATGATGATACACTCTCACTCTGTAACTTGTAACTCTGTAGCGAGTACTCCCTGAAAATCCTCCCAGTGTATGAGTATATCAGTATAATAATTAAATTCAAGACTCAAGTTGTACTAGTACTGGCAATAATTATAGACTTATTTTTCCTTTTTTGGGTAGCCTATTATAGCTAAATTCTCATTCCTAATCCTACTAATCATCTAAGATAAACGTGTAAGTGTAGTCTGTAGTTGAGGAGCGTATATTATTTCTGGTCACTGGTCACATTTCTTATTTTCACACGTCAGTGAATTTTTTAAAGAAGTATTTTTTAAAAAGTAAAATGCCATCTTTTTGTTGGAATACACAGCATTTCAACAAATTTTATAAGATAAAAAAAAGTACATTTTTATGGATCTTTCGTCTTTTACGGAGCCATTGTAGTAATTCAAGGATAACTATTCTGTCTTCAAAGATATATATCCCTTATAAAAGTTGCCCAATTTGATGCATCTTGATTAAAATAAATGTTGTATTTATTTTATAACTTTACTAGCAAAGATAACCGGAGTTGCCCTGGATAGCATACAGAAAAAACATCTGCTACAGCCATTTAATTCACATTGCTATCAAGCGAAATGTCAACAGCAAAACAACACGCTATAAGTAAAAAATATGAAATAATTAATTTGTCTACTATAAAAACACTTAAAATAATAACTTTTGTAAACCTTTAGTTTTTCCCATTTTCCGATGGCACCCTGTTTCCTGGAGGGATCATGATATAACCTTATCCTGTAGAATCCCTGTCATGGTGGGATCCCGATCCCGGTAGAATTCCGGTTATGGTGTTATCCCAATCCCAGTGGGATCCCGATCAAGGTGGGAACCCGTTTCCCGATAGGATCCCAATTAGGTCCAGTTAACTGATTGGGGCATAATATCAGAGGATGGCATTTACTATGTAATAAGTGCGCTTCTTCGACAAAGTTCCTTTCTCGACTAACGACAAATCAACACCTATGTCACTAAACAGACTAGGCAGTATGTCATAATCAGCATAAAAATATGTCACCATGTAATTGCGGGAAAAGTGTTCACTAACTAATTAATCTCTATCACACACACCGCGTAATCAAACATAATATCCAGTGTGCCACAATTATTAGGGAACTCTCATACTTGACAGTAGCTAGGTTACAAGCCACATTGTAATTTTTATATTCCATCTTGTTCTTCAAAGGGGAGCGCCTTGCAAGTAATTCCATAGTTGTATTAATGTTATTTGTTGCCTCACAAAGTGCGCATATAAACCAAATGCTGCAACATTTATGATTTCTGTTGGATCAACAATTTGAATTATTGTTTCTTGGTCGTCCTGCCATTTTGAACAAAGTGATCCCACTACCAGCAGTACCGCATAATGAGTCCTTCTTATTATATATATATAAGGATATGAAAGTGAAAGTAGTAACCCTAGAGTTTAGTCAGTAGTAGTAAGTAGCCTATACTGCCTAGAAATTAGTCATGATTACTATTAAAAATTAAAGTTAACTAAAGACTCTACCAACTGAGACTAAGCGAGGACAATTGGCAAGCACAGAGATATTTTGACTGGTCTTGCTGCATAACTGAGAGATATAATAATTTGAGATAGATAGTTTAATCCATTTTGCAATATGTATTGTTAGACAGAAGAAGAGAAAATTATTTTAAAAGAATATTGAATATCAAAGTTAAAGAAATCATAAAATAGTTTTGGCAACAAAAAGAAATTTCCTACCACTTTACTTCACGATGGAAGGTGACCAAAGTCAGAATCCTATTTAATAGTAAATCAATGCCTCTTTTTTTTTGCTATCCTTTAACTCTGTCCCAAGCAATGCAATAGACGAAATATTTTTGAGTGTAAGGATTTTAAGTGTCTTTAGTATCTTTAAACCATACAATGAAGATCTGGGACAACAGGCCCATAATCCATAACATTAAGACAAACTGAGTAGAGGAGTGAAGAAGTAATCTAAAACTCTAAAAAGAATTCTATTTTAAAATGCAAATTCATGATTTATTTTCTACCTATTTGTATTTTACTACTTGTTAGAGATGAGTTCAAATACTTTTAGATAACCAACATTTACCCAGCATTTTATATTTTCTCAGGCGGACAGATTAAAATGTGACTTGTCTTCTTAAAAGAAGTGGTACAAAGCTACATCTATGGCTCATTCTCATGAAGAAATTGATCAAGGAAGTTTACCAGTGCCAATAGGCACTGTTAGCAGATTGGTAAGGATGCAGGCGGCAGCAAATACAATTCATCCTGATACAGAAGCCAATGTTGTGGCACAAACGGAGGATGTTTTCCTTAACTATGTTTACCAGAGCTATCAGAATGATGTTATGAGAGGAAATACAGAAGACGCACCTGCTCTACCAGAGCTAGTCAGTTTTACTACAGCATCTATTACGTATGTCTATTAATATATGTTACAGAGAACCACTGATGTTTGTTTGATTTCATTGAAACTAAAATAACACCAACATCAGGTCCAAAAATCTATTGGGCAATAAAAATAAAACAGTATTGATATATCAGAGAGGCTAAAAATATAATCTGATGCTCCCTCTTTTGCAGAGGCTTTAAAAAAAATTGGTATTTAAACTAACTCCTAAATGGAGACCCATCTGTCACAGTTACATCAAATGGCATTCTTCTCTACTATCCCATCTATCATAGTTACATCAAATGGCATTCTTCTCTACTACCCCATCTATCATAGTTACATCAAATGGCATTCTTCTCTACTACCCCATCTATCATAGTTACATCAAATGGCATTCTTCTCTACTATCCCAGCTATCATTGTTACACCAAATGGCATTCTTCTCTACTATCCCAGCTATCATTGTTACACCAAATGGCATTCATCTCTACTATTCCATCTGCCCTCAGTTAATCAAATGGCATTCTTCTCTACTATCCCATCTGCCACAGTTAATCAAATGGCATTCTTCTCTACTATCCCATCTACCTGTCAAATCCCATCTACCTGTCTAAACTCTTAAAAGCTTGTCAAGTATGGGAGTTCATTAATTATTGTTGCGACTGAGTATTATGTTTCATTATGCTAACATTTGATAATCAGACTCTCTAAGATCAGACATACACATTCTACAAAACGCTACAGATTGCTCATAGTGCATAGAATATTCTCTAAGAAACCCTAGAGGTCTCTTGTCACATGAGCCAGTCAAATTACTTATCAATTTGTCAGAACCCCAATAATTTCTCTTGCCAAATGCTGACCTTTACTAACTATATTCATAATATATATTTCTCATCCCTTACAATCTATTATCCTACCCTGTCTTATTCTGTACTCCACACATATTCCAACACCCCACTACTATTTCTCTTGTTATCCGCCAGTCTCTTCCTAAATAACCCCTACTCTCTCCACCATACCCTACTACTAACTACTCTGACAATATTTAAAAATGAAATGCTATCATTTCTAAATATTAATTTTTGTCACTTTCTGCTTACAAAAAATAAAATAGGAAAAAGTATAATAGAATATGTGAAAACATTAGAGAAGAAACCAGGACAATCAAATGTACGTTTCTGCTGCTGATGGTTATTTATGGTTCTCTTAGAGCTTTCACATATCCTTTTATGCTGTTTCCTTCACTTGGCTTGACCACCGTTTCCTATAAATCATTCTGAGAAAAAAATAAATAACTGCTTAAAAAAGGAGACTTTTGATCATTTAAACATCAAAAAAAAAAAAAATATGATTAACCAACTAAACAACTGCCCCTTCTCCTTATTTGAATGCATCATTTTAAAACTCGTAATGATCAGTAGTGAAATAATAGTTATTATTTTTAAATGCAATTTTTTTTATACTCAGCTATATGCGGCACATGAAATAATGTAATTTAATATAAAAGAAACTCTAAACACCTTACTTATAAAATACTTAAATTACTTTTCTTAATATCTTTGGATGCAACACATTTCTTTTGTTACATTTTTTTAAGGTGTTAAGACCAACAGACAAGAACATGGAAATTATAATTATGTTATGATTCATTTCAGTATTATTATGATTAGTCAGATACTTTGTGCACTGAAACTAGGTGTTCATAAATGATATAAAGCACTGAAGGGTTGGTATAGGGGTTCCCTTAAGATATTGTGTTCAAGTGCAACGTGAACACATTAAAAATGGGTGTTAAATGTGAGCTAACAGAGTTATTTCTGGCTATTTCTGATTTAACAGAGATTCAGAAATTTGATGCCCATAGAGCTGGCGGACATTTATGAATAACACCTGTTTTTCTATTATTTTTTTTTACCTGATAAGTGAGAAGTAATTTTTCTGGGTATTTATATTATAACTATAATCATGATAAATGATTTTGATTATAGACCCGCTGCTGAGATTGGACGACAATTGGCTCGTTTGGGTGATGACATCAATGAGAAGTATGCAGATATTTTTGACCAGATGATTTCAGACCTTAACTTAGGTGTAGATGGTGAGACTGAGCCATATGAAGCTTTTGCCAATATTGGAAGAAGGTAGAATGGTATAATATTTGATTTAATATTTTTTTCCCCATGCATAATGTTCATAATAAAATTATCACACTCTATAAAGTTGTTGTTAGCAAAAGGATAACTATCTTACAAAGGTTTTATATGTCAAAGTGTGTTATGGGTCATCAGAGATTAATAGAAATTCCTTTAAGTATTTTAACTACCCAGTATTAGTTTAATAGATTTATAGGATTTTCTGTTTCAGCTAAAGCTCTTCATATAAAAAAATAATTTCAATTTAAAAAAAGCTTAAAAAGCACCACATTAAAATTTAAAACAAAAAATTTGCTTCATAATATTACTGTATTGTTTTTTTTAAATTAGAGATATGTGATTAAATGATGTAAAAATATAAATAGTTAAATGTAGACTTAGTAGATTACATTAATTATTTCAGTTCATTTGCTTTAAATTAAACCATTGTTGATGTTATCTTAACTCATTGGTTAATTTAATTTGTAACAAACAATTCAGTAGGTTTTATCCTTTAAGATTTCTTTTGATAAATTATTAATTGCATTTTCTTCCTCACAAAACTAGAGTGTTTTCAAGTGGAATCAACTGGGGACGAATTATGATCCTTCTAGGATTTGGATACAGAATAGCAATTACCAAGCTGAAAACCCAAATCACAAATTTTGCACGATTTTTGGCAAGCATTGTCTCTTTTATTTGTCGCTTTGTGATTTCTGAACGGATATCGAAATGGATAGCTGACCATGGTGGATGGGTGATTACTGTTTTTTTAATTTTTTTAAATTGAATGCATTTTAAGTCTTTTTTTCCCATTGTTGAAGAAGTCATTGTTTTTTTTTTTTGTTGACTTGTAGATTGTTTATTTCAAATATTTTCTATCGTTAATTAATTATATGGGATACATAGTTATAGCCAGAGTTGGTTCTAAAAACGAAACACACTTTTAAGTAACTTTTAAAATTTATAATTATAATTTGTTATACCTCATTAAGAAAAGAAGTCAAAGAAACATAAAATAGATTGAATATATTTTAAATGAAATTTTTTTTAATGAATATCAATAATTTTTAAAAAATTATGTTTTTCAGATAGCATTTTGCAACCCAATTTGGGTTGGAACTCCATCCATAACTTATGACACCCATCCTATTTTAAAGTATTAAAAAAAAATAAAATAATAATGCTCAGTACTTAAAATGTTTTGTTTTCTCATTTGCAGAGGGCAGCACTGAGTTATATACCAACCGTTTCATCATCTATGTTCTGGCTGGTGTCCGGACTAGCAGCTTTGTCAGTCCTTGCAGTGGTCAGCATGCACAGATATTTGCATTGATGATGGCAAATGCCTAGTTGTTCTTCATGTGCCAATATAATAGAATTTTAAAATTTTATTTTGTTTCTCATTTCAAGAAATAATGTCTTATTTTGCCACAACAGAAAGTGGGGTCTCTGAATTAAACCCCTAATATTTCTCTAGCAGGCACATATTATAAAAATTATTATTATAATGTAAATTTTAATCCATAATTTCTCATTTTGTGAGAATAAAAGCTTTCTACAAAATGGTTGAATTGTTGGTAGGAAAACCATTAATGGTGTTTCCTCAACTGAATATTTATGTTAATATGAGTGATACTTGTCTGTCAATGTCAGTGAAGAACACTGACGCAGTTTGTTGTTTTTCTTGTTTATTGAATTCCTTATGATAGCAATCCATGACAAAGTTCCATGCTAATCAGGGTAGAACTGGAATGATAGTTTGTTGAATTTATTAGTTAATTAGAAATGGATTATTTACAAAGATGTTTCTTGCTATGAAGACAGTACTTGTACCATCTTTATACCAAGATGGTACTTGCTATACCAGTTGATTTACCGACCGTATCCAGATAGATATCCCAGTAAGAAGATGATATTTTTTAAACGTGGCTCTCAGTGAAGTAAGATTTAAGATATTGATTAGTGTATATAGTGAAATAATTAAAAGTTGATGCTTCTTGAATGAAAATGGACGCATTAATAAAAATAATGTTGATGACCACCGGCTATTGCCACATTTGCTCAAGTCTTTAATACATTTCAAGTATCTTAATCAGTCACGATTTTGAAATCACACCTGTTGTCCTTCATGTTTGGAGGTCAGTCCATGCACACAACTAATGGGGAAAGCAGTTCATTTCTCTGTGTTGTGTTCTATAGGAGTTATAAAATGAAGATTTTTCATTATCTGCTCCCAGTGGTATGCTGGAAAAGTTTCCAGAAGGTTTTCATTAATATTTTGTTTTATCATAATTGTATATTCAATTGCTAGCGTTTTAAAATGTGTTTAAACATCTGAAATATTTGTTCTCCAATGGCAAAATTGTACATGTACGTTGTGATTGAGCCAATTTTAGTAGCTCACCTACTTTGTGAGCCTGGCTCATTTTACAGCTGATCACTGATATTGATATCGAGATACTATTATTGGTTTTGTTCAGTTATGTAGGAGTTTTTAAATGAAAAATATAAACTTTAAAATAATTAATTTGGATAGTATTAGCTGAGTTTGCTTAGCAGACCCAGTTAGATGTGTCATATTCCTCACAACTCACATGATGTAGCCATGTTTCATTTTAACATATCAGTGTGTAACAGTTCTAAGTGAACAAGATGATACTTTTAATGTCAAGATTTGCTCAAGAAGTGTTGTCTGATATACAAGACATTCCCTTATTATATCATTCTACATCTCTCCTGATAATTCCTTCACATCTTTAATCTTTATGATTTTATCACAGAAGCTCAGTCACCCAATGACTATGACTGTTGTTTTCAACTTCTGTCAAATTAAATCAACACTATACAATTCCCACCTTATTTAATTACATTGTAACATAATCAAGGGCTGGAAGGGAGCTGGATGTTTATAGAGTCACCCTCTGTTTTAGTTTACCTGCATCCATTAGCTTTAGAAATATCATCAGGGAAATTTTTACTGGTATTTTCTTTCTTTTAGTATCAAATTTTTAGCTTACTTCATTTAAGGTTTTTTGAGCATGGTTATCAGTAAGTGTCCCTGAGTTATTACTTTTTTTATTAAGTAAAATTAAATAGACAAATGTCATCCTATCATATAGGCCGGCCTTAGAGTTGTAGTAACTAATTGACAATGTTCTTAGAGGTAAACAGTAGTTATCAGGCCATGTACTTAAGAACAATTTTTCTTGACTTCTTTGAAACTTCCCCAGGGATGCTGAATATAAAAAGTTTTTTTTGTTGAAATTATTGACTTCAGAATTTGTTTTGTATTGATGGAACACCAGTAGCACCATTTTGCTTTGATTTTTTGATAATTATTATTTAAGTCAAGTATGCTGATTTTTATATTTGAATAATGCCTTAAATTAACATTTCTAATTTATTTTCACTCAGCTTTAATTATTCATATGTTTTAACTCTGATGAGCGGTCAAGCAAGCAAATTTAACCGTCAAACATTGGAACAACAAAACGAAAAGATTTATTAAATTAATTTTTAAGAAAACATTATTATTCTGCTACTACTAAATGTAATTATATTTTAATAGTGAATCCAATATGAGAGAATTATTCAATTATTCACCCACAATAATTAAACACTCCAAATGACCAAAGAAAGCTTTCAAATAACATAATTTATTTTTGTAATTTATTCTTGTCTAGCGATATTGAAATGTTAGATAATAAGTACATGAGCTATCCATGCAGAGTTTGTATAGTTTTATTTATTCATATTTGCTGATACATATCTTGCAGAAACAGTTTTGAACACTACAATTCTGACAAAATTGTTGAAGGTTCATATCAAATTTACTTTTACCTATAACATGTTTTCTCAAAAACATATCCAGATGCCTTGCATATAAAGTTACTAAACAAGTTTCCATTTTTGGGAAACTGTATATGCCTTTAAACCAGTTCATACAAAAATGTAATTCTATTTATGAGATGAGATTGACTCACTTGGTTATTTCCATTAACTATTTTACTTTATCTACAGTTTTTTTGGCTCTGTGTCCATAGTGTGTAATGGTGGTCTCTAACATTATTCATCAAAATTTTATATACTTTGAGAAAACAGAAGTCTAGGCTCCACAAATCATATTACAACTTCAATTTTTTATAAAATAAATCTGTACCGTACCATCTTTTTTACGCAGCTTTTAATACGATTGACATATTTGACTGACATATAATTCTTTTGAAGTTTTTCTAATATGTTGTCTTTTTGTGTTATGTTCTGCTTGTAATATTCAGATATGGAAAGTATTTAGTTTTGCTAAAAATTGAATTCTATTTGTTAAGACAAAAGTGAAAACATCTCCTTCATCACACACTGAATCACAACAGCTGGAAAAAAGGGCAGCAGTCTCTTTCTTACTATAACATACTATGCAATGTACCGGTATTTAATTTCATTTCATAAGTAAAAGGACCACATCCTTTGCGAAAGATCAGAGTTCTGAGATTTCAGTAAACATTTGTATGCAATTGTATGTATCATTGTTATATCTTCAAGGGTCAAAGCAAGATTTGAATGTAAGTAATGCAGTTGGGTCCCATTTTACAAGGGTGTATTTAAGATAATTTATTGACAAACTATTCAAGGAAATACTGTTGTAAATTGAGAAAAACAAATTACATTTTTAACCATTCCTTTGAAGACATTTTGTTTTTGCTCACGGCAATTAAATTTGAAAAATATTTAATAATAGTTGAATCAGGAATGTAGCTTCTTTCATTAAACTAAAACCCTAACTACTTCACATATTTATTTAACCCACCAGCCATGGGAACAGAAACACATTCTCAAATGCCCTAACCTTTGCTCCCACCAGGTCAGCTGATGAGACCATGTGGAGTCATAGAGTGTATCTTTAGCAGAGTTATTCACACTTTTGGCTCAAGGAAATATTTTTTTTCACAGTATTCCATAGACCTTTAAAAAAGAGGGTGTTGCTTATCAGCTATTTAGTAAGAAAAGTTTCCTCCATGGTTACTTCCCTCCATGTGGTCATCTGATATTCCTATCTGACTCTACCATTGCATACATGTATTCAATTTATTTCATGACAAATCTTTAACTGGGCCATTGTTCCCCTCACATTTGCTACAGTAGATTATGTCCATAATATTATGGTCCACTGTTCAGTCCCATTAAGTATTTGTTAATGTAAAATCTCCTGTTACAATTACTTTATTTCGAAGTATGCTTTGTAATACTTAAATAATTTGTTTAGAGTATTCAGTAGATCTTACAAATTTTGAACATGTCAGATGTCTATTTTTGAAACAGTAGATCTTACATAGTTTGAACACGCCAGACGTGTATTTTTCTAACAGTAGTTTTAATAGTAAAATTATTAATATTTTCGTATTCTGCAAAAAAGGTGTTATTCATATTTCATTTTTTTGGAGAATGCAAATTTTTGTACACATTTTGTACAACTTAAGAAGAATGCATGGGTAAGCATATTGTGACGTGTATAAAGGTATTTGATAACTTGATTAGATGGTTGAATATATAATTGTGGGCACATCAAGATGGCATAAAAGTTTAGATTTACAATTGTATTTGCAATGAATACCCCAAGAGCTTTGCATGTGATTGTAGAGCAAGTCAATAAATGTTATCAAATGACATTGTAGATTACTAAATGCTAGTTGTTTCCAGACATAATTTGTATCACTGGGCAAAGTAGTGAGGAACTACTTCACTGGGCAAAGCATAGAGGAACTCCTAATGTTTAAATTTAATAGGTCACTTTCCTCAGTAGGGAGATAGTTGATGTTTTTGTTGACTTCCATGTGTGTGTTTTTTTAAATTCTTTTTTTTGAATTTCTTCTTCATTTGTAATGGTGTACGAAACATAATTTACTGCATTAAAGCTTGTTTCCTGTTAGCTTTATTTATCTAGAACAGGGGTTCTTAAACTTATTGCGCTGTATAGACTCTTGAAACTGTAGGCCGGCGTCAAGACTCTTTGTCAGAGTAATATTGCAGCGAATCAGAAATAAACTGAGTAAAAAAAATTCACTCATGTTTGTTATGACGTTTTTGCCATGACTCTGTAAAATCAAACAAACTACAGTTTGTTGTGGATAGATTGATTGGTTGGAAATCTGTTGACGATTGGTTAGGGTTTATTATTTTATAGTATTAATGAATTATTTCATTTTATTTTTTGAGTGGCAAGTGGGGTGCTCCCATATAATATATAAGATAAAATTGTTCAAATGAAAGAAGTGTATTTAACACTTCTTTTAAAAATATTATGAAATGAAAGAATAATGTTGAAGTTGATTTTATATTTCTATGTAATTAAATGAAATTGTTTGACATTGTATGAAGTAACATTGCATCACAAATTTAATTATCATCTTTTTTCATTTTTTGGTGTTAATTTGATTGTTGTCCACCTGTCAAAAGACATGTATGTTTTATCTGTTGTTACATAGTCTATAATATTGGCCAGTGATATGTTACATAGTCAGTAACA